CGTGACGTGCGAGTTGAAGCAGCGTCTGAACAAAAAAAAAAACCCAGGCCTTGTTTAGACGATGGTTGGAGAATCAGTATTTGTTAATGTAGCACTTTCGTTTGTATTTAATAATTATTGTTCAATCATAGTCTAACTAGGCTCAAAAGATTCGTATCGTAATTTACAATCAAACTGTGTAATTAGTTATTTTTTTATCTATATTTAATACTCCATACATGTGTCCAAATATTTAATGTGATGGAGAGAGAGTGAAAAAATTTGGAATTTAAACAAGGCCCCGGATTGTTTAAAAAAAAAACAGCCTTTGTGTACCACCAGGCCACGGATGCAGCTGAGAGCCTGAGGAAACCTGTCTGAACGGGAACGGAATTGGCAGCGCAATCATTTGCACGGTGATGACCTCGATGTGAACACTCGCTCACTACCATGATTCTCCATACCCAAACCGGAAAAGGAGACACCGATATGCCGCTATGGAATCGCCACAACTCTGCCGTTCCTGATTACTGATGCGACTGAAAGGTAAATATATGGATGGATCATCGCAACCACACCGTACAGGCTGCAGATGTAGAAATAGAAAAGAGAGACGTGGATGGCAACAATGTTTTCCTCTCACAACAAACCAGCACTAGTCGGGCTTATCAGCCTAGAAACCAACCAGCGAACAGGCTGATAGATCAGTGCCAACACCTGCTTTCTCCGTGCACAACAACACAATGCAAAGCACCCCCTGCATTGCACACTCGCGAGTCGCAAACCGATCTGGCGATGCGTTAGAGCATGGGACTCGAGAACTTTTCTATCTTATTATCATAATGCTATCTCCATAAAAAAAATGTAATTCTAGCACAGTATTATATTTTGATAGCTTAACTTTAATCAATTATAGATAAAAAAATATTCATATTTATGATATCAAATAAATACCATTAGATTAATTATGAAATATGTTTTTATAATAAGTTAATTTAAAACCATAAATATAAATATTATTCACTAAAAATTAATCAAATATGAACCACTCTTCGTCCCCTCTAATACATAGTTATATTCTTTTCGGCACAAAAGAAGCACTCCGTATCATGGGTCGGTCCAGGGCTCCAGGCATCCAGCCAAAGCGGAGCGAGTGTCACGTCAGCGACGAGGAGGACGGAGCACTCGTACTCTCGCGTCGCGTCCCGTTCCCAGCAGCCACAGGTCATATCAAGCAGAGAGAGACACGCGAATGGCGTCAAATCAAAGGGAATGGATGATTGTGCGGCTGGTTGGCGTCACCGATGGGCGCTCGCGCACCTGCGAGACGTGACCTTCACGGCTGCACGCCTCACTCATGTGGTCATCATCATCATCGGCTGGCTGCTGCTGATAAATTCCATCAACCTCGAGTGCATCGTCAGGATCGCAACCCGACTTCAAAAGGCTATGGGTTTGGATGGCATACTCCTAGATACTCCCCACGTTAAGAAAAAACGCAATTGTAGCTCTGAACCTGGACACGTTGATTCAGAGCTAGAATTATGTTTTTTTTCTTGAGTAGCAATCACGCCGACATATATTCGGTGATGAGAGAACTCCAAGAACATAAATAAATGTTGTCCCGGCATGAAAAAAAAAAACGAGCTTTCGAGTTCACAGCTGAGGCATTGCATTGCATATCTCAGCACAGCAGACGACAAGCCAGAATAACCACTTTTCATTTGTCACAGCTGAAGCTTTTTTACAACTTTGCTTTCGCCTTGGGAGGGGCATGGTCCTCGGCCGCCACCAGAATTTCACTGTGCACATCCACACCGGATACTACAGTTCCACCAGAATTTCATTTTTTTTTCAAATTACTGTGCACATTCTTATATAAATGAAGCATGGAAAAAACCTCCCGGTGTCAACCTTGATGCACAGCAGATGTGTCTGGAATTCGAACTAGTTCTGAAGGGCATGATGTACACAGTTTCTTTTCATCTCGGATTAACCCGGCGGCACAGTGTCTGACTTGTCTTACAAGGGGACCTATAATGCATGTTAGCTGGGGCTATAGAACCTACAGGCGCCCACGTAGATGGTAGATACAGGCTCCTTAGCCATTGCCGTTTTTCCTGTTCCAGGATAGGCGATTAGGGTCACCTTGCGGCCTGTGATTTCATCAAATACGAGATGAGTTATATAGCTTAAAAATGACCCCCCCAAAAATACAGCAAGAATTAAACCAAAAAAAAAAAAAAACTCAGCAGGAGGTTCCGTCTATTCACACGCGAATGCACAGCCTGTGTGTTTGGTTCTTATGAACAATAACAAGCAGAAGCATAGATAACATGAGCTTATCGTTTACCTTGGGTACTTCACATGGATCAGAGCAAAGAGAATTGATATGAAGATGCTCAATGAACCAGTGACAATATAAGCATGTCCAAGGAAGTCATTCTTGCCACCTAGCCAGGATGCAGTTGAAAGAACTATGCTTTTCTTTCCACCAAAAGTGTAGGTGTTGTAATTATTTCCTATGAGAATAGTTATGATCTCATCAGCATGTAGATCATCTTCAATTATACCATAGAGCTTTCGAAACTTGGGAAGAGCAGCAGTACGCATCCACACAATAAGATCTTCCTGCTCACTCAGCTGACAAAAAAGATGTAATTGTTCAGCTAACTTAAAACAAGCTGTTAATTTGACAATATATAGACTAAAGGCAAAGTGTACATTTGGCAATCCTATTAACTATTGAGCATTGAGCAACCCTATCAACAATACTTAGTGTCTTAGTTTATCACAGTACTCACTGGGACAGTAGGGTCGAGTTTTCCCCCTCCAATCAAGGTTCCATTCTGAAAGTTGGAAGGAAACACATTTTTGCCAAACTTGTGCTCCCGATCGCTCTTCCATGAAATGTTTTTTCTGTTGACCTTTATTTCCTTGGACCCACGAGTAAAATCATAGGTATCATTGAATAAGCTCCAGGCAATCAAGCCACAGGGAACAATTGGGGAACCATTATTATCCCGGTGAACAGGACTGCACGACTCAGCCGTGTATTTCGCCCCAAAACGCAGCTGTTTATCACTTCTACTTTTGACATACCTGTTCATCATTGATAAATTTCTTTTTTCAGCAAGATCAATAAAAAACATTACTCCCATCCAACAGATACAGTGGCCACGAACCTATATTAAAAAGAAAGATAAAATGACCATGGAACTAATAAATGATGTTATAACTACCTGCGATGATTTTGATAGAAATTCTCAAGTTCATAATAAACATAAATTGGTGCTCTCATGTGTTCCAGAACCTGCAGATGTCCATGCCACAGTAAAATCGAAATTCAAAGAGAAGAAGAAATATAGTCTGATGCAATCTCAGGGCGCCAAGCTGAACTTAGGAATTCTAGCTACGTGAATCACAGACGAAGAAATATAGTCTGCAGAAAGTGAACAAGATAAAGATAACTTCTGTTATAATCACATAACGATCTACCTTTGCTTGCAGAGTACAGTTCTTTGAAATCGAGCTGTCCTTAATATAAGCTTGCCAATTTCCTCTGTAAGCATTAGGCACACAGTCAAAATCATAGCGGTGAATGATTTCTGCAACCTGAACCAGAATAATGAGCACATCAGTTATACCTAGGCACCTAGTGATATAACGATTAACGGAAACACCAGTATCTACCAGAGGGAGCAGAACAATTACATGATTTGAAGTTTGGAGACAAAGAAGCCCAAAAGGTACGAAAATGATTCCGATAATCAAGAACATGGCTATTAACTGAAAACAGTGAAGTAAAATATCATCAATTGAACTGCGTATGAAACAGTCTGTGCCAAACCTGTCAACAGGATCAGAGCAAACTTACACATCCAGGTGTCATTGCCGGCTTCCAAGCTGGGAGATTCTGCTGGGTGAACCTATAGAAAACTGCAAAACAAACGATCTTTTTAAAAAAGTGGACTACCAACATGGTCAACTCTATGGTGTACTAAACTAGAACAACACTGCAACACACAACAATAATTGGAAAATACATATAATCTGAATTCTCAAAGTTTGTAAAAGAAATCGACCATATGATCTTCTTATGTCCAGATTCAGTAGTTGCCAGTCAAGGAAACACAAGTTAATACAACAAAATCTGCCTGCAGTTGCATCAGTGTTGTGTTCCACAGGATTCTGAAAAATGATGATACAGATCGCGAGTCCAGACGGTGACTAACTTTATGCCCACCATGATTATTAGCTAAAGTTCATTTATTGTTAGACTGGCTCACCAAACGCATGCTCACACCTCAAATACTGTTCGGATAAATGGATTGTAATTGTAATGGCTAGAGAGACAAACCCCACCAAAGCAACAACCTCCGTAACACGTAAAAGCAAATCAACAGCGCGAATTGCAATTTCATGCTCGAATTCAGCGTTTATGCAAGCTCACGATCGCGCAGAGCTACTAACCCTAGTATCTGAGGCTACTATCTCCCGCAGACCACACCGCTCATGAGCGTGGAAACCTAGACGCAACGCGACCGAATCGAAGCGAGCCCAGCCATCAGAGCGTGACTCACCTCCCGATCTCGCCGGCGGGATGGCGCGCCTCGTCGCGCCGGCGGACGCGGAGGTGCTCGCTTCGTCCATCTCCTCCCGCCACGAGCTCGCTCGCCGCACAAGCCCTCGTCAGCGGCTCGCCGGAGCCCGTGCTCCGCAGCCCGACCCGCCGGAAGATCCGACCGCAGAAGAAGAGTGGAGAGTCTACTTGCTGCTCGATGAAGAGGAGCCCATGGGCCCACCGAATCCTTGGGGGCCTATCTAATTCACGTGGGCCTCATGGGCCGAATTTCCGGAGGACCGAATTGACGGCGTGAGATGGGGACTAACGGTCGATGTGACGGCCGCATCAATTCGCCGCCCGGCGCGTCGCGGTCGGGGGAATCTTTTGCCCATTTCGTTTCGCCCAGAAGCGAGAGGCGCGGGCTCCACGGAGAGAGAGAGAGAGAGAGTGGGAGATGCGAGAGGAGGTGAGGAGCTCGTCGGGGGCGGTGGCAGAAACGCCGATGGCCGTCGCCCGGTCCTCGTCGCCGCCGCAGACCCCGGTGGCCAGGTACGGTGGCGGTCGCGCCTCGGGACCTCTGTACTTTTGGTTCTAGATTCTTATTAGCTGTAGGCGCTGCTGCTTGGTTAGGGAATCAGGCTCTCAGTGCTTCGATTGGTCGTGAGAGTGCTGGTTCTGCGTAAGGAAGGTGGATTTTACATGGCCCAAAAGACCTATTGTAGGATTCGAGGTAGGATAGGCCGTGGCTCAAATTCGATTATGGAATTTTGATTGGATTCTAGGGCACTCCTTTGTAGGGGAAAGCATGGGATATTTGATGGTCTACATCAGCTATAGGTGCATGGTTGGTGAAAATTAAGTGTAGCTGGCTGAGCTTTACTTCTCCTTTTGGCTTCAAAACGCCAGGATTTGAGCTGCTAGATTGGTTTCTGCTGTTGTATAGTGTTACAGATTAATGAATGGTGACATTGGATGGCATAATTCCGCGATTTGAGCTTACACGGGTTTGCCACTAAATATTATGACTAGGGGGACATGCTGCATTTGTGCTGGCTTTGTCTTCATGCTATTATAGTCTAATGCTGGTTTGGTCACAGTATTGCAATTGAGATTTGAGAAGGATTGCAGTTTGCAAAAATCAGTGGAGAACTGTGGCACGTTTGATGGTGTGGTAGCATAGGATTGAGCCACTCGAGCTCATGTTGGCCTTTTTAACTTTAGATCTAGGTAGATCATTCTCAATTCATTTTGTGATGTTAGATCTGTAACATGGTGCTATAGTTTCTATGCTTGAATGCTAAAACCTGAAAATAGTTATTTTATTTTGATGACAAGCTAATGTGTCACGGCTGGTACCATGCCAACGGCGTGAACAAGTTTACAGCTGGCGTATAGTATTTGGTGTTGGTATGTCCTATGTGTGCATGGGCCCACAGGGTAGAGTCAGCCTCTGGCTTATAAGCCACTGCCGTGTAAAGGGAGAACCCAGACAATGAACTAGAAAGGAATCAAATCGGAGAGGAACCTTTCCTCGTCCGTTCCCCCAAGTTATCTCTGCTGTGATCCTGCTCACGTCCTGGCACCTTGCTGCGGCTATGGGTAGTTACATAACGTCAATGTGAACCTTTCTGCGCAGAATCGATAAAGCCAGAAATAATCCTTTCTACAGATTTTTGTCATTCTTTTTCTAAAGCTTGCACTGAAGCCCCTTTTGCTTTTCAGTTCTGCTGGCGCCTCATCACCTGCTATGCAAACTAATGTTGCAAGCATAGATTGGTTGGGTGGCAAACAAGCTTCCAGAGTTGACTCGTCGTCACAAGTTGCTGCACATGCCTATCATCCTTCCCACAGTTTTGATGCAGCTGGAACTGCTATGGATTCTGCACCATCATGTAGGCCATGGGAACGTGGAGACTTGCTTCGACGAGTGGCAACATTTAAGCCTTCAACCTGGGCTTCTAAACCGAAGGTAGCTTCCCTAGTTGGGACTACTAGGGTCTACGGTACCTGTGCCATTTCACATGCTTTAGGGTTTCTCTTGTGTTGTGTTGCATGTACCATATATTGCTCGTTTGGGCTCTAGTATACAACTAAATAGGCTCATTCATCTCTCCTTCACCCAAGTTGCCCCTGAAGCTAACTCCATAATGATACGATAATGTTGGTTGCACATTTCTTTTGTCACCATTTGTTGGTGGCAGTAATACAAAACATGCCATAGGTCTGAAAATGTGACATGGAATCATAATCCAAATCATTATGCACATATAGGCCTCTCCACTTTCATATCAGCTATAACATAAAATTCTTGCTTTGATATATTGAAATTCGAAAGAAGTTACTCTTTTACCGTTTTGCTTATTGCAAGTGGCATTTAAACTCTGTTTACGTACTATGCTAATCTGGCCAGGCATTTACTGGATGCTTGCTTGAGCTTTATAGGGATCCTTTAACTTCTGAATTTCTTAACATTAGTTATGTGATTTTATGTTCATTTTTCCAGGCTGCTAGTTCATTGGCCTGTGCTCAGAGAGGTTGGGTGAACGTTGACCTGGACAAAATTGAATGTGAGTCATGTGGTGCACATCTAATCTTCAATGCATTGACATCCTGGTCCCCTGTTGAAGGTATGTTTTGTCTTGATACACTTTTGTTTTGTGATAGATTTACTACTATGCTAAGTGACTGGTTGTTATGTGTAGCTGTCTTACAAGTTACATTTCTTTGCTCTGCTACGAACTGTAAGGGTGGAGATTAGTGCAGGCCATATTGTATTTTCAACGATCACCTATAATCTTTTAGTGAAACCTTATTTCCCATTACGATAATAAGGCATCTATGTGTTTGGTTGGGGAAAAAATGGTTACTGAATATCCAATGAACTTGTAGTTTATGCCCAAAAAAAAAAAATCAAACCATGACACTGTGCATTCAATTCATAATGTTCTACTTATGATAGCTAGCTTTTTTATCGGTGCATTTGCCAATGTTTATATTTCACCCTGTCGTCTACTTTGACGAGTTATGTTCAACAGATAGAATACTTGTAACTTGAGTAAAAAAAAAAAGGGCAGACCTAGACCTAGTGCCGGAGGCTCCCACATGAGTGGGGTTTGGGGAAGGGATAAACCGAGACAAGCCTTTCCCCCGCAAAATCTGCGGAGAGGCTGCTTCGAACCCACGACCTGGTGACTCAGTGAGACAGCTCTCACCACTGCACCAGGCCTACCCTTCTAATACTTGTAACTTGAGTCAGATCATATATTTATTTACTGTTGTATGCGAAAAGGTAGTCAAGAATTATATATACAGATTTAATACGTCAAACATTTGTTCCAAAAAATCATGAACAGAGTTGGATATTCTGAGGTGAGAGTAGAGTTGATACACGCGACATATCACAGTGTTTTCAGTCACCTCATACGAATATAGAGGGTATTTTTGTATGATACAATACAAGATGATTCCAAGTTGGAAAATTGAACTAGTCTGTAAACTACTCTGACCCTGGCCCTCCATTTACACAATCATCCTTGCAGAAACTCCAAATGTTTAGGATTCTGGTAGCAGCAATGAATGCACCTTTGTCATCGAACCATACTTTAGAGATTTTGGGTCTCACATAAAAATGTATGGATATCCAATGGTTTGAATTATTGGTCAAGTAACATCTGATATGACTCAAAAGAAAAACTATCTGCAATGTGCAATCTCATGACTGTTATTACTTGTGTCTTACTGTTGTGCTAAGCTGGAAATAGATTGGCACATCTTTGTTTGCAAACTGAATTTTGTTCAGCTGTGAAACCTTTCTTTGTATCTTCTATTAGTTGCAAATGCTGGAGAATCCTTTGCCGAGCAGCTTGATGCAGCACACCAGAATAGTTGTCCCTGGAGAGGCAATAACTGTGCTGACAGCTTGGTCCAGCTTCATCTTACACAATCAGCTCTTATTGGAGGTTTTAAAGATTGCTGCGATGGGCTTTTACAGTTTACCTCTCTTCCTGTGATTGCACCATCTGCAATTGAGAACATGAAGCTTACCAGGAGCGCTCAAATTGATCGTCTGTTGTCCCAGTCAATTACCTTTTTATCTGGTATTCTGGGCTGCAGAGCAGAGAGTACAGCAGGAATTGATATCCACCAAGATTTCTCTTGTAGCTACTCTCAAGTATGCTGATCCCTTTTCATGTACACATTTTTTTTTATTGGCGCTAACACGCTATTATTTTGCATTGCCTCCAGTTTCTGGGTCTTTCTTTAATTTAGGTGCTTTTATCAATGAGTTTGTAGGCACAGAAGCTCATAAGCCTGTGTGGATGGGAGCCTAGGTGGCTTCCAAATGTTCAAGACTGTGAAGAAAATTCAACGCATTCAGCTAAAAATGCACCCTCAGTTGGGCTTGACGAACGGTTCTATCCCCATTTTGTTGAACATAACAAAAATTCATTTTCTGCATCAGCCAAGAAAGATAAGGAGAAAGGCAAGTTGCTCGTTGGAGATTCTGGATGCAGCATGAGGTCACCGTTGTTAGATTGTAATCTGTGTGGGGCTACAGTCAGGATGCGGGACTTTAGACCTGTATTATGTCCTTCTCGTTTCAGTCCGAATAACATTGATGTGCCTGAAACAGGCAGAAAGTTGACACTGACACGTGGAGTTAGTGCCACCAGCGGTATCAATGAGTGGGTTACTGATGGGGTGGACAGAGGTCAAGATGAAGGGCGTGATGAAGCAGCCACAGATGTGGGAAAACCACTATCACTTGTTGGAGTAGACCTAAACCTAACAATGGCTGGAGGATTACCATCACCTCAATCTGCCATGCCTGCTATGTCGGAGCGGTTCAATAATGGAGGAATGGGAAGGGACCTGATGATTGGACAGACTACAGGCAGTGAAGTAGGTGATTGTGAAACCTCATATGAGTCTCGTGGTCCGAGTTCAAGGAAGCGTAACCTTGAGGAAGGTGGGAGCACAGCTGACAATCCACAAGATAGGCTGCAGCATGCTGATAGCATAGAAGGAAATTTCATTGATCGTGATGGTGAGGAAGTTGATGATGATGCACAAGATTCAGATGTCCCGAATAAGAAGTCCCGTGGGTTTGATCTGTTTGATGCCTATCGTCCTTCTTCTGGAGCTGGTCCCAGTAGAAACTTGTCCTTTGACCCTGATCCAGATGCTGGTATGTTCAGTCACTCGAGAGCAATTGACCTGGCAGCTGTTGAGCGTCCGACTGCTAGGGATTCTCTGAGAGCATCTTCTGTTATTGCAATGCATACTATTCATACTTCCGAGGAGGATTCTATGGAGAGTGTTGAGTATTATCCAGGTGATGGTAATGATATCGATATGCCTTCTTCTAGTGCACAAAGGAACATTGAAATGAATGATGCCTTGGATCTTAACTATAGCAACCAAGCACAGCAAAGTGCCAATGCACATGCTGGTGCTGGAAGCGATGCAAGAGAAATAGGAGGAAGCAGTACAAATGAAGGGGAAGAGGTCATTAATGCTGAAACAGCTCCTGCTTTCGGAAGGGATCAACTTAGTTTAGGAATTAGTGGTGGCAGTGTTGGCATGGGAGCTAGTCATGAGGCTGAAATTCATGGAAATGCTGCTTCTCTGCACAGAGCTGAGAGTGTTGTAGGTGATGCCGAACCTATTGCCGAGCTTACTGAGACAATGGGTCAGACTGGTGAATCAGCTCCAGGACCTGGATTAATGGATGAATTTGTACCTGAAGTAGATCGAGAAGAACCTCATGGAGACAGCCAAGATACGGTGTCTCGGTCAGTCGGCCAAGCTGACAGTGGATCAAAAATATATGGCTATACCAAAGCTGATTCTGTTGAAAGTGGAGAAAAGATAGGTCATGCCACCGGTAACGGAAGCAGCATGCGTCCTTCCCTTTCTTGCAATGCAGGGATGTGTGCTGGTTTTGATCTGTCTAAAGATGATGTGACACAAACTGGCAAAATACTTACTACTGATGATGCGTTAATGGGGTTAGATTATGATCCTGGGAATGGATTAGGTACTTTCATTCAAGCCTTTGCCAGATATAACGGCAACGCATTGGTTTTCCTGTACTGTATCGTTTGCATTATTTTCCATGGTTCCATGTTGGCATTTACCCTATTAATCAGTTATTCTTCATTTGGTAGGGGATACTCTCTGAGCATTCTTTTAGTGACGTTGGAAGTTGCCGTGTGATATACCCTAATATCATAAAATGACTAGCTTGGATTTCTTTCATCTCTGAGCATTCTTACATAAAATGAAGTGGACATGATCCAATACCATGAACACCCCTAACCATATATCTATTCGTTTTATTCTTAGACCTTCATCTTTATGTAAGTTTTTCCCCCTTCTTGGTGGTGGTTCATGTTGGGTTTCTTTCATCTCTAGCCTACCCTACTTTGGGACAAAATGCTTTGTTGTTGTTGGTGGTGGTGGTGATGATGATGAACTACATTTAATTCCTGATTATGCTCAGTTATATGTCTTCTGCTCGTATAATACTTTGTTACTTTCTTCTCAGGAGCTACTAATGGAGAAAATGACTATGAGTCAGGTCTGCTGGAATTTGATCCTGTTAAGCATCACAATAGTTACTGCCCATGGGTGAACGGAAATGTTGCAGCGGCTTGCTGTAGCAACATTGGCTCCAGCTCAAGTAGTTCAGCGCCCTCTGGTTGGCAGTTAACAATAGATGCAGTTGACACGTACCAATCACTTGGTCAAGCTCAAAATCAAATAATGCAATCTGATTCTGCAGCTTCATTATATATGGTAAAGCTTGCTCATCTAGTAATGCAATCATGTCTAGAAAATCTGTAGGAATAACCAATGTTTTCAAGTCGTCTGATTAATCGTGATTACTCGTCCTAATCGGTCCCTGGTGTTCGACTAGGAGGTCTGATTCGATTAGCTCGACCAGAAAGTTGGTCGTCCGATTAGTCGACGACGATTAGGCCATGGACGACCAGTGTGGTTGCTCTGTTTTTTTGGGCCTGTTCCACTGGGCCTATATGTGGCCTATTGGGCTTCCAATTTGGCATATTAGGGTTAGAATAGGCACCCCAAAACACCGGAGGCACGCAGGCACGTGGCAAACGCAGGGCGGCCGCAATTTTTCCCCGCGCGCCTCCACTCTCCCACGCGCGCGTTTCCTGCCTCCCGCGCGCGATTCCTCCCCTTCCCGCGTGCGATTCCCTCTCTCTCGTGAGCTATTCCCCTCCCTCGTGTGCTATTCCCCTCCCTCGCACACTATTCTCCTCTCTGGTGAGCTGTGAAGCCAACGGCGCCCTCTGCCAGGTCAAGTGGCCGCGGTCTTCGTGATGAGTTGCTCCGACGACGGTATGTGCCTTTCCCCTCTCCAACTTCTTCCCTCCTCCCCCATCCCTCACTCTACAGCCTCTCTGGCTCTCTGCTAGACTGCTAGGTTGCTTGCTGTGTTGTACTGCTGTCCCTCTGCTATTCTCTGGTTCCAAAGGAAAGAGAAGCAATCCACTCTGCTAGACTAATCGGCCTGGTTGACGAGTAATCGCGATTAGTCGCCTGGTCGGTCCCATGACGACTAGGTTCGACTAGACGACTTGAAAACATTGGGAATAACTTACCGCATTGAGAACTTAGATCAACATTCTATATTATGGTGTGACAAAAGGCTCGATCAAGAATCCACTATTTGAATTGTGATATTTGGATGAGTGGATGACCATAAGTAATGCACCCTCTGAACTCCATTACTAATTTACTATCATAATGGAACTCTACTTGATGTGTCGCAGGATGATCAAATAACTCTAACCGCAAGGTAGGGAGACGGCCTTCTGTGAGCAGAAGCTTTGGGAAGTGCTGATCGGAACTCCTGTAGCTTTAAGTGTTCCTTAGACAGAAGTAACATCCCAGAAGTTGAAGATTGGTGTAACAGGAGAAACGAAATAATACTCCATTTAAGATAGTCTCAATAGATCGTTGTCACCCCGTGGGTGTGACCTTATAGTGGTTTATTATGTTGTTGCGTATTGATATGATATATCATATATATGTATATTTATACTCCGAAAGGGTTGATTCAACAGTCTTTATTTGACAGGAACATGTTCAAGTGAACTAGATACTTTATGGGGAGCTTGTATAAACTTCATATTCATATCTTTATCACTGTTCTTATTGCATCCATGTACCTCATCTGCTGTTATGGTTATGTTCAGATTTTTTTTTTCTGTTTCTTTGTGTCTGGCTGCCTGGTTCTTTGCGCGGGGTGCTATCTGAGAGGCGATCACCCTTGTCAAATCTCAGCAGCCAATGAGCACCACCCAGAGTGCCAGGTCATCAGCAACGACCAGATAAAGAAGCGGATGAGATGCCACTTCACTTCACTCCTGCTGCTTGTATCCTCGTCGTCTTTCCCCTTCCCTCCGTCTTGCAAGCTTTCTCCAGATCAATCAGAAAGGGGAAGGGACGAGCAGCCCATCATGCCGCTTTGCAGCTTCTACGCCTCCACGTCCGTCCCCGTCGTCAAGCCCCAGCAGTCCGTCGCCTCCTCCAAGTCCCCCTCCACGGCGGCGGCCTCCGTGGCTACAACTGTGCCGATGAGCAGTGTGGCGGCGGCGACAGTAACGACGGCCGTGCCCACAGCGAGCCCAGCGCTGTCGCTGCACCTGCCAGAGCTGCCGTCGCAGGTGAAGGACAAGATCCTGAGCCTGGAGCTGATGGGCGTGGACTACGGGCGCGCGCTGGAGCTGAACCCGGCGCTCCGCGACGCGGCGCCGGAGTCCATCCACGCGGTGGTGTCGTTCCTCCAGTCCCGCGGGCTCCAGTTCAAGGACCTGGGCCGCGTCTTCGGCATGTGCCCGTCCGTGCTCACCGCCAGCGTCCGCGCCGACCTCCGCCCCGTCTTCGCCTTCATCTCCGAGGACCTGGGCGTCCCGGAGTCGGCGCACCGGCGCGTGGTGATCAAGTGCCCGCGCGTGCTGGCGTGCAGCGTCCGCGACCAGCTCCGCCCGGCCCTCATCTACCTCCGCCGCCTGGGGTTCCGGGACAGCCGCGCGCTGGCGCTGCAGGACCCAATCCTCCTCGTCTCCAGCGTGGAGCGAACCCTGGCGCCGAAGCTGGAGTTCCTGGCCGGGCTGGGCATGTCCCGGGACGACGCCGTCGCCATGGTGCTGCGGTGCCCGGCGCTCTTCACCTTCAGCATCGAGCGGAACTACAGGCCCAAGTTCGAGTACCTGGTGGACGCCATGGGCGGCGGCGTCGAGGATGTCAAGGCCTTCCCGCAGTACTTCGCCTTCAGCCTCGAGAAGCGGATCGCGCCGCGCCACTGCGCCGCGGAGGACGCCGGCGTCGCGCTGCCGCTGCCGGACATGCTCAAGGCCACCGACGAGGAGTTCAGGGAGATGCTCGACAAGGAGCGGGAGCTGCTCCAGGAGCAGACAGCGACGAGGGACTGATCGAGGGCCGCGCCATGCTTTGTATGCTTACCTACCGAGCTAGTATTACATACAGCGGTTTGCGCCCGATCGGAGGAATTCAACCGCCGTTTCCATGGCGAGTGTCCTGTCCTGGCCATGAGGTAGCCATTTGATTTGAATAAGCCTGTACATATGCATTGACATTATTTGGTAAGTAGTCACGACTCGTAGCTCATGAGACATGGCATTTCTTCCTCCAACTGTAAGCACCGAGTGGCAAGTCGTGTATTGTGTACATACATCTTACATGTATATTATATTGTATGATTATGAGTGTAGCAAGTTCATTACTACTCTCTCCTTTCCAAATTATAAGTCGCTTTTTTTTTTTTTAAAGTAATTTGGAACGGAGGGAGTACATAGAAGTACTTGCTCTGAGCTGCACACTTCAGCAACACTTGGTGTGTGGACATTGGATATAGTGCTAGCGTCCAGATGTCCGGACGAACACCCTGCACTCCACGCCCGCGCTCGAGACAGCACGCCCCCGCGCGCTAGACCGCGCGTGGGGACCGCTCGCACCTCCTCCACTTCTCACACGTATTGCAACATATGCAACACCGATCTACTTGTACAATATCCAGATGAAACACTTGCAACATACGTCCGAAACAACTGAAACATATGCAACATACATCCGAAACACTTGCAAAAAACCGAGAAACTTGAAAACACGTGTGTAGCCATTGCAAACATATGTAAACATCAAGATAAAACACTTGCAATATACGCATGAAAACACCTGAAACACTTGCCTATATATGCAAAATCATAATCTAGTGTTGCAACATCCAAATGAAAAACACTTATAACATACGTCTGAAACAGATGAAACATTTGGAACATACACTTAAAACTTACGTGCATATCCATTGCAACATGTGCAACATCCCGATCTACTTTTGCAACGTCGATATAAAACACTTGCAACATACCTCTGAAACATTTGAAACGCTTGAAACATATGCAACATGCACTTTGATCGCAATGTCACCTCGTTGCTTGGACAAATGAAGGCTCGTCGTTGCGGAGCTCAACGCTGGTGCGGAGGTCGGCTACGGCGCATGGAGCTTGCCGGTGAGACACCGGCGCGGGCAACTCGCTGGCGGGGCGGCGTCACATGAAGCTCCTTCCCTCGCCTGCTTGCTGGAGGATCCATCGTAGAGGCTGGCCGGCTTGGTGGAGCGGCCACGGTGGGCGGATGTGCGCGGTGCGGGAAGGAGAAGGAAGCGGGACGAATAGGAGGAGTTGGGCGAACACGGGCGCGCGGTGGCAGGCATCGTTGCCGGAGGCCGGTGAGACCGCGCGGTGCAGGTTTGGACGCGGGAGGCTAGGAGCCCATGACTGCAAGTCTGCAAAGCATAAGGGAGGAGCGGTGTGCGGTGGAGATAGGGCCACTTGTGACATTTGCTACATCCAAAATTGCTTGGGCCGGTTCGAGTAAGCGTCCAACGGATGGACACTGTGACCCCAAGAATTACCATATAACTAATGGTCTCGAAAGCTACGGGTTGAAAACCAGTATTTTGCTGAGCAAACATATATTTTTTCTTACGGGTAACTACTTTATTTTTTTGAACTAGACTATTAAATCACCAGAGATTATATTTATTTTTTCGAGGAGACATCTACTTTTAGATTGGAGGCCTACGTGTGAAAGAGCTCGAAATGGCCGACAGTTTCGTTCTAGGCCTAAAATACGGCCCAGAGCTAGAAGTAAGTTGCTGCTCTCGTGTGCCTTCGAGAAAAGGCCCATAATCAGCCCAAGGCCCACCGGAAACCCTAATTGCCGTGCTGCATCCACGATAAATACAGCCGCAGCGCCGCCGCCGAATAGTTCCGCATTCGTCTATCGTGCTTGTTTCTCATGTTTTCTCGCCGTTCTTTCACTGCGGCACCGTGTTTCGAATTTGCACCGTGTTTTGTTTGGTTTTTGTGGGGTCATTTCGCCGAAACAGCGCTGTTGATTTTTATTCATCGGTGTCGACGGCTGCGTCGGAGGATGATGATATGGTTTTGTCGCCCCAGTCTTAGGATCCGGACTTCCGGACCTTTGCTGATTGACATGTTATCGAATCTGACTCCACTGTCCATGAGTTCGCCCCTTCGTCTTCTCCTTTTTATGTTTACTGAGTTTCTGAGGATGATGATTTGGAATTGTCGCCCCAGTCTTAGGATCCGCTCTCATGACGGTTCTTTGCTGATTGACATAACAGTGAATCTGACTCTTTACAGATGCAGTGTCATTCTCTGTGCCAGTTTTGGGGGGTTTTGCAGGTCTTATGTTTCTAGATAGTGGTGTCAGTGATTCATTAACCGAAGGTATCATTGACGGGTGCCATCAGGAAGAATAGACCTGCTCGTCAGTGATTGCTGTGCAGCCGCCGCAAGGAACTGCTAGTCTGCTACAGCCTACAGCATTGCCGTGCAGGCAGAAATATCACACGAACCACGGTGTATGCCCTTGTAATGAGCAAACATTCTGTAATGATATTTTGACAAATCACAAATCACAAACTTCAAAAGTACTTGAAATTCATGGACATTTGCTTCACCGATGGATCTAAAATTCTTAATGATGCCTTGTAGCTTGAGTGGACAAAGGTCCTATCCTGTTTTTCCAACTGGGGCGTAAGCTCTGAAACGTAATGGCCCAATTCCGGCCCAGCATAGCCCAGCACGGCATCGAACAACCTCGGCTAGCTGCCCGAGGCAAGGACCATCCGTGCCACGTGCTCACCTCATAAAAAAAGACAAAAAAAAAAACGCGTAGAAACACCGAAAGGCAGTCGGCAGCACCGAACATTTCTCCCAAAAAAATCCTCCCAAAAAATCGAAAAAAGGGGAGGAAAAAAAATTCTCGTCTCCTTCCCCCAGCTTGCCAGCACCCAAAGTCGCGTCGCGGAGCGAGCGCGGCGATGGGGTCGAGCGAGGCGGAGAAGCCGCTGCGTCGCATCGCGGCGTCGTTCGAGGAGCTCGCCGCCGTCGCCAAGCAGCAGCCCGCGGCGTCCATGGACGCCGGGGCCTTCTCGCGCGCCTGCTCCAACGTCTCCGTCCTCTTCGGCTGCCTCGGCATCGCCTTCAAGTTCGCGGAGATGGACTACGTCGCCAAGGCACGCCTCCTCCCACTCCCCGTCTCCTCTCCTCCCTCCCTCTCGTGTCTGCGTCTCTGTACGACTGCAGTAGCGGCTGTTTGGCGTGATTTCATCCAGTGTTTAGATCCGTCTGCTGCTTACTTGTACCTGATGTGGTGATCGATCGAACTAAGTGCTTGTTTATTCTGGTGGATGCTTGGGGTGGTAGAATGTTATCTGCTGCACATGCCAACCAGTATCAGTCATCATATATCTCCAGTTATGAGTAGGCACTTGGATAATTCACTACATACTTACTGGGCAGCTAGTTTTTTTTTTTACTTTGGGCTCTTAATTATGGTGATGAACTGATGATGATTAGCTTCAATTTGCTCTAGTTCGAGGTGCACCGTTTTTGGCTTGTAAACTGTGTGATTAGTAACCAAAACTTGGAGGTTAGGAAGAATTGACCTCGAAGAGTTCAAATAAACTATAGCTTTTGCATGAATCAGATAATCTAATCTGAGGCTGTGTTCTGTACCAGTTTGTTTCAATGGATAGTTGAGGTGTTAGAATCACTTGCTTTGTTGTTCAAATAAACTAGACACTTAGTGCGCAACTGGTTTATTCTGGGTTGGGCGGATGATTCTGGTGCTGTGCTGGTTTGGTTTCTGCTCTCATCGTTGCCTGGTTAGTTATATGTTGTTAAAGTCTGTTTTGTGTTAGTAACAAATATCTCCACTTTTGAGTGTGACTAAACATGCTTGTATGTGGTGTTTGATGTGATCAATTGAACTTAGAATTGTCTAAGACCATTATATTAGGACAAAATGGTCTCACAGGTCAATTATGTGCATCAGAATAAGCGAATCTACTTTGGCCGCATTCACTGTTATGTGCTTGTTTGTTTTGATGGATACTGGTTAGAGTCCTATCTGCTGCACATGCCAACCAGTATCATTTATCATATATGTTGTTATATGAGTAGGCACTTGGATAATTCACTGCAAACTTCGTGTGCAACTATTTTAGTTTGAGCTCCTGATGATGGTGATGAGTGGATTCATTTTCTGCTAGGTATTCTGCTTAGTGCCTTGTACTCAAATGTGGTGATTTTAAGACTTGGAGGTTAGGAAGAATTGACCTCGAAATTTCCAAAATAATGTAGACTTTTCACATCTGAATCAGATCATCTAGTTCAAAGGCTATGTTCTGTGCCAGTTTGTTTCAATGGACACTTAAGGTGTTAGAATATGACCCGCGCACTTGCTTTCTAGTTTGCTGCTAGTGAAGTGAAAGGTCTCATCAGTTTAAACTGGAGACTTGGACAGTTCAATATATAGCAGACTTAATGTGCAACTTTGGTTTCTGACTTTGCTCTCATCTTTGCCTGGTTAGTTATCTGTTGTTAAACTTTGTTTTTTGTTAGTAACAAGTACTTTCACTTTTGAGTTTGACTAGACACTTGGATAATTCACTACCACAGAAAACACAGTATAGAACTACTTTACTTCTAGTTCTAGCAATTTATTGATGATGGTGCTGAGTTGCTTTCCTTGTTGCAAAGTTATCATTGTAACGTTTCTAAGTTTTGTTTGGTGTTCTTCTCTGATTACTTTATTGGATCTTCTACAGGTTGATGATTTGGTGGAAGCGTCCAAGTCAATTTCAACATTGCCTTCTATGGTTGAGCTAGACATTCAGACTGACACTGTCAGGAAACCAGGTAGCCATACAAGGAATCTGCTTAGAGTGAAGCGTGGGATTGATATGGTTAAAGTCCTGTTTGAGCAAATTCTTCTCACAGAGTAAGCACGAGATGCACACTGAATACCTCTTTACTTCTCTCAACTCATAGTTGCTTATAAGTTTGTCTTGTGAACTGTTAAGCTCTGTATTTCCTTAAAATGCCTTCTCAGTGAATTTGATCAATTAACACTGTCTTGCAGGGGCAACTCACTAAGGGATGCAGCATCAGTAGCTTATGCTCAGGTCTTTGCTCCTCACCATGGATGGGCAATAAGGAAAGCAGTTGCTGCTGGAATGTACGCCCTTCCCTCAAAATCCCAGCTGTTGAAGAAATTGAATGAAGATGGTGAGTACCTTAAATCTCTTGTCCATCCAAGCTTCAGCCCCTAACAAAATAGCAAGTAGCTGTTTTTTTTTTCTCGAATACACAGGAGAGCTGCGTATCATTGTATTAAGAGAGCAGCAGCTGTTTTTTATGCTGAAATGATCACATGACAACACTATTCTGAGTCCTTGTAAAGCATTAACGTAGTTGTTCACTTGTCTGTGATAGAGAAACTAATATTCATGTATGCCTATGATTCTCTGATGCGCATGGTTTATAAAAATGATAGTGCTGGGTACAGATTTATCAAAAGCATACTAGGATATCTGGGATTTCTTACGGTAATATGGCTTAACTTTGACCTGTTGCAATGCTGATCATATTTCCTTTTCACTTGCAGAGGAATCAGCAAAGGTTCAAATGCAGAACTTTGTCAGGTCATCAGCTCCAGTAATCTGCTATGTTGAAGACCTTTTCACCTCAAGGAATTTGGGCATAGATTGGTGAAGAAACCTATGGATACATTTCCTTGATGTACTAAGCCAGTCAGATGGTGTGCTGTGAGCTGGGCTCGGAAAACCTTTTTCTGGATTCCATGTCTCCAAGTTGTAACCAAATCTCTTAGCTTCGGTCTGAAACTACTTAGCGATCCTATTCTGGAGTTGCTCGTGATGGTTGTTGAGTACGCCGTTAGAGTGCCTCTAAACACCGTAGATTGGGGTAAGCATCTTACTTAGGGTTCCTCTAGTTCGTTCTGGCGCAGTTGCGTCGCAGGCTCGTGGACGCCGGTGTTGAGGAAGCTCGGCGCGGTGGAGTCCAGCTTGGTGGAGACGATACAGAGGCGACGGCGGTGTCGGTGGGGCTTTTCGTCGCTGGCAGCACCCTTCTTTAGATCGGATTAGGTTTTCTGTAGGTGGTTACGGCGGCTCCGGTCAACTTCATTATCCGAGCCCTGGTCCTCACACTTCTCTTTATAGTGCTGTGCGACGGGGGTCCATCAACCATATTAGGATTGGGTGTCCTCGATCAGGGCGCAGATCCAAGAGCCATTGGTGGAGATCAACTAATATTTTTCCTCTAGATCTTACTACCATCTTTCAATTTCATATCATTTACTTTTGTTCATTCCATTACAGATTAGTGCATAGAGCATGTTTCATCGTCACGGTCAATTGTCGATAGACTTAACAACTACAACACACCACTCTATTCTGAAATAGATACTTAACTTTGGGTCTTCTTTTGTCCAGGAAATTTAGGCTTCCCCTTAAACCTATGTTAGCTACATGTTCTCTGAACACATTGGGTGGTAAGCCTTTTGTAAGCGGATCTGTGAGCATCTTTTTAGTACTTATATGCTCAAGATTTATGACATGATCCCGGACTTTATCTTTCACAACATAATACTTTATGTCAATGTGTTTGGCAGCACCACTTGACTTATTGTTGTGAGCATACTGTATTGTCAGATTATTATCGTAGTATAACTTAAGTGGTCTATAGATGTCAACCACCTTCAAACCGGGTATGAACTTCTTTAGCCAGTTCACCTGTCCCGTTGCCTCATAACACGCTACAAACCGTCATACATTGTGGACGATGTAGTGACGGTTTGCTTTGAGCTTTTTTATGAAATAGCTCTCCTTGCGAGAGTGAATACATATCCAGACGTGGATTTTCTATCATCTCCCACATAATCAGAATCTGAATATTCCACTGTGGAGTGAATCAGATATTCTATACGTCATCATGAGGCCTTTCGTTCCTTACAAATAACGCAAGACTTTCTTTACTAATTTCCAGTGTTCTGTTCAAGGATTGCTCTGGAATCTGCCAAGTAACCCGGTAACAAATGTCAAGTCAGGGCGCATGCATACTTGGGCATATTGCAAGCTTTCGACAGCTGAAGCATGTGGAACCGCTTTCATTTGATCGATCTCATATTGGTTCCTGGGGCATTGAAAATCCCCATATCTGTCGCCCTTGACTATAGGAGCAGGTGAGGGATTACATTTGTGCATATTGAATTTCTTTAAGATTTTTTCTATGTATGCCTTTTGTGACAGTCCTAATACCCCTTTACTTCTATCTCGATGAATCTCGATCCCTAGAACGAACGAAGCTTCATCAAGATTTTTCATATCAAATTTTGAGGACAAAAACTTCTTTGCCTCCAGTAGTAGACTGACATCACTACTAGCAAGTAAGATATCATCCACATACAGGATAAGGAAGATAAACTTCCCATTCTTAAACGTTGCATAGACACAATTGTCCTCTATATTCTCTTTAAACCAAAAATTTCTTATTGTCTGATCAAACTTCAAGTACCACTGTCTTGAAGCTTGTTTTAATCCATAAATGGATTTCTTTAGACGATATCCCATTCGTTCTTTTCCTTCCATGACAAAACCTTTCGGTTGTGCTATGTAAACATTTTTCTCCAAGTCTCCGTTGAGAAATGTCATCTTTACATCCATCTGATGTAATTCTAAATCATAATGTGCCACTAATGCCATTATGATTTTGAAGGAATCCTTACATGAGACTGGAGAAAAGGTCTCATTGTAATTAATCCCTTCTCTTTGCGTAAAGCCTTTTGCCACAAGTCGCGCTTTGTATCTCTCTATATTTCCTTGAGAGTCAAGTTTTGTTTTGTAGACCCATTTATAGCCTACTGCTTTAGCTCCTTTAGGAATTATTTTCAAGTCCCAAACTTTATTGGCACTCATTGATTTCATTTGATGAATGGTCACTTCTCATGGCTTCTTCAAATGAGGTGGGATCATCCTCCATTTGAAATTTCTCAGTGTTGTATACTTCATAGTCAGTAGGAATAGCTAATTTTCTAACTCTTTGAGACCTTCTGGGGGCCTCCACATTTGGCACATCTTCTGCTTGAGGCTGTTGTTGCTCTCCCTCATGTGTGGCAATTGGTCCTATAGGATCCTATAGAACATGTTCCTCATCATCATTCATTATTGCCATAGGCGGAATAACAACAGGTGCTGTCACCACAGTATCTTGCACTGTCGATGCAACGACAGCAGGTAGTGAGAAAAATGGCTCATGAATCATCGGAGTGGATGCATACACCCGTTTCTCTTCAAGATCAATTTCTTGAGCTACCATGCTCCCCCTCATCATTTCATCCTCTAGGAAGACAGTGTGTCTCGTTTCCACAAACTTTGTATGTCTGTCTGGACAGTAGAAACGAAAACCTTTTGATTTTTCTAGGTAGCCAATGAAATGGTAACTTACTGTTTTGGGATCTCACTTTCCAATATTTGGGTTAAATACTTTAGCCTCAGCAAGACTCCCCCCACACGTAAGTGGTTTAGTGAGGGTACTCTTCATGTCCACAACTCACTCCACCCCACGGTCTAACCTGACTATCTTAATCTTTAAATTAGGTTGGTTTTCAACTTCTACCTTAAATATCTTAAATTTATCCAATGCTTCTGTTCTTTCTTTGATTGGATAAATGTAGCCATAACGGGAGTAATCATCTATGAATGTTATAAATGAATCATAACCATCCACACTCTTTACAGGAAACAGACCACAGATGTCTATGTGAATAATCTGTAAAATTTCTACGCTTCGTTTGACATCTTTCTTAATTTTCTTTACATACTTTTTTTTTATGCATTCTCTGCATTGTTCTAAATCTGAGAACCCTAATGGAGGAAGAATATCATTCTTAACTAGTCTTTCTATTCTTTCCCTCAAAATATGGCCTAAACGACAGTGCCATAATTTCGATGACGTATCGTGAGCTCTCTTATGCCACCATTTCTAGAGTAACTCTCTGTCACCAGCTGCTTTATCAGCTGGGTAACATGTCTTTGAAGCGCCAATGAACTGACTCTTTATTCTATCGAGGTACTCGGTGACCGTGTCACACTCTGGGATTGAGCCCACAATTGTAGGCTCAATCGTTTTCTTTATCACAGCCAAATATTTTTTGTTGGTAGTGACCCACTTCATATGCTCAAGGTCATAGGACATCTTTTGAGATTCAAAATCCCTCTCTCTAGTTGCCCAAGTGGCATCAGTCTCGTTTGTCTTCCTCACCGGTGCCACAGCATCAGTGGGACACAATGAGGTGACTACACATCCTCCTCGTCAGCCAAGATGAAGGTCAGGTCAAACTTTTCCTTAACATAAAAATAACAATAATTGCATGCCTTGATTTTCAACGTTGGTCAAAATTAAAACATACAACTGTTCTTATACGCTAATTCTACATCACTGTTGGGCAGAAATAAAATTAATGCATAAATCATTAAAATTACGATATTGTTATTAACAACGTTGGTCAGAAAATAACAACATCATAATCATGTCAAAATCTTTTTTTCTCCAATTAAATATCACGTTGGTTCAAAATAACTGGAGAATTAACAATTTCTTTAGCAGTCATGTCAAAATCTCATCATAAATAACATCATAATATTGCCATTAATCAACGTTGGTCAGAATAATAACAATATTATAATCAATTAAAAACATATCCATTTTTAAAATTAAATTCTCCCGTTGGTTCGAATTTAATAATGAAAATAACATCTTCAAATTCGCAGCGGAAAATTAATTCAATTTCATGAATTTTTGCCCACAGGACAAATCTCTTTTCTATTTTCTTTAAGCCATTAATCAATTTTCAGGAAATAAATATTTACTGGAAAAATAAAAAAAAAAAACTGATTCATTTCATCATCTTTGTTCATTCGCCCAGCCAAGAAAAGCGGCCCGCCCAACTCCCTTTGACGTGTCTTTTGTGCCTCCCGGCCGCAACTGGGGCTGGTAGGCAAAAACGCCACCAAGGCAGCTCTCGCTGGGATCGATCGGCCGGGCGATCATGCTCGTCCGTTCATCCAGCATCGGACGGTCGCACGTCTACTTCGGGATGTCAAAACCCCCCGTCGATCGCCGTTCCCAAACGCTAATCATCATTTTCTTCTTTGCTCTCTCTCTCTCTTCGCCACTCTCCTCCCCTCAGCCAGTAGCCAGATCCGAAGCGAGTCGAGCGGCGGGCGAACGTTGGAGCGATGGCGCGTCGCCCCCCCTCTCGGCGTCGCGCTCCCCAATGGGTGAGCGCACCATGCCGAAGCGGCCGGCTGCCTGGCGCCTTTTGGCCGGAGTTCCGACGAAGCAGCCGCCCGCGCCGGCCTTCTTCTCCCCGGTGCCGACGAGGCAACAAATATTTTCTTTCAATGGCGAGGTAGACCTCCCTTTCCCCAACATCCCCCTCTGATTTGCTTCTTTCTTTTGTTCTTCTCGATTCAACCGATTGGGGATCTAGGGTTAGGGTTTCACTGTTTATCTTCCTCGTGAAGTCTTCACGGGTTTAGGGTTCGACTCTTACGTTCTTAAGGCCAAAACCCTCTTTTTCTTCTCCTTTCCTTAACCAAGTTAGGGTTAGGGTAAGGGAATCGTTATGGTTAGAATTAACCCGATTTGTTTCGATCGATTCGGTTCATCTTTTTCATTTGATTTCTTTTCTTTTCTATTTGTACCGAATCGCTCTCTTCCCCTTGCTCGTCGTGAGTTAGGGTTAGGGTTCGGTTGAACCCGATTCGGTTTTTCTCTCAGTTTTGATTCAAGATCTTTGAGATAAACCCCTTCCCCTCTTTCCTTTCTTCTCTTTGGATCTTCTTTCTTTTCTTTCGGAGTTGAACCATTTGGGTTTGGGGTTAGGGTTAGGGTTTGACTCGGAGTGCCGAGACCCCTTTCTATTCTCTTCTCAGATCCGAACACCGATGTTCTTTTCTTGTCGCGCGCCGACGAAGATGGCGGTGCGGCACCTTTCCCCCGCGCGGTGGCGGTGGTGACCGGGAGTTCAGTGACGTCCGCTACCCCCTGGTCTTTTTCTTGTTTTCTTTTACCCGGTTAGGGTTAGGGTTTCAACCCGAAACGGATCGAACCCTTGTTCTTTCTTTGATTTTCTTTTCTATGCTTTACCCCATACTAGATCTACACATTAGGCAACCTTAGCTCTGGTACCATTGTTAGAGCGCCTCTAAACCGTAGATCGGGGTAAGCATCTTACTTAGGGTTCCTCTAGTTCGCCCTGGCGCAGTTACGCCATAGCCTCGTGGACGCCGGTGTCGAGGAAGCTCGGCGCGGTGGAGTCCAGCTTGGTGGAGACGATGCAGAGGCGACGACGGAGTCGGTGGGGCTTCCCGTCGCTGGCCGCACCCTTCTTTAGATCGGATTAGGTTTTCTGTAGGTGGTTACGGCGGCTCCGATCAACTTCATCATCCGAGCCCTGGTCCCCACACCTCTCTTTATAGTGCTGTGCAACAGGGGCTCACCAACCATATTAGGGTTGGGCGTCCCCGATCAGGGACGCAGATCCAAGGGCCCAATAGGCCGGGTGGAGATCAACTAACATACGCATGTAACGTCTTGCATAGATGATGAGGAAATATACGTGTCGGCTGATTGGAAAGTTTTCTCTCTCTTTTTTTTCTGGATATGCTGCTTCATTTCATGTATGCTCACCTGAGGTGGCGGCAATGTAGAGCAATTTCATTTTCTTAGTGATGGCATTTCAGGAATTCGATAATCTTGGTCTCAATATCTCATGACATCATGCCAATTTGAACTAGAATTTGCAAGCTGACAACTAGAATTAAACTGTTGTAAAGAGAACTTATATGTGACTGAATCATCAGTAAATGGCATATATAGGCACAATAATTTGTCAGTTTACGAGGAGGAGGGCTGGAGGCGGCCGTGCACAGAACTTCCGCCGCCGCGCGCTTGGTTTCTCCAGGCCCCCGCCGACCTCCGTGTATATGGAATTTCTTGTCCAACCTCACCTAATCAATGTGCAGCTTAGCTTATAGATGGAAGCTGGAAACTGTTTTTGGTAATATAAAGAGTCCAGGATTCTAAACAATATACTCGTAGTAGGATCGATCAGAATCATAATCCTTTCCCTGTCCATCAATCCGTCCAACAAATACAGCCTCGCCGTACGCGCCGTCCTCCTAGCATCGATCCATCCACAAGAACACCAAGAACCCAAGCACACCGCCATGCGGTTCCCCACCACCATCCCCATGGAGGCGGACACGCAGCGCGTTTCCGCAGCCAGCGCCGGGCTCACGTCGCTGGCCCTCCGCCTCACGGGCAACCTCGTCTTCTCGCCGCTGTCCATCTACGCCGCGCTGGCTCTGGTGGCGGCCGGGGCACGGGGCGCCGCCCTGGACGAGCTCCTCGCCCTGCTAGGCTCCACGTCGCGCGACGACCTCGCCGAGCTCATCCGCGGCGCGCTCGGCGACGGCTCCGGATCCGGCGGACCGCTCATCGCATCCGCGTGCGGCCCTGGCACGACGACGAGATGGTCTTGAAGCCGGCGTTAAGGGCGACCGCCGTCGAGTGCTTCAAGGCCGAGGTGCGCGCCGTGGATTTCCAGACAAAGGTGCGTTCTTTCATCTTCTAGCTACCTCCGTCCGCCGAACCGACATGGATCGGCGATTATATTACAATTCCTGATCATCCCCGTCCGCAGCAAGCTTGTGTTAACCAATATGCAATGCAACGCATGCAGAGGAAGCACGGCAGGAGATCAACAGCTGGGTTTCGGAGGCCACCAAAGGGCTCATCACCGACGTACTTCCTCATGGCTCCGTGGACGCCGAGACCGGCCTGATGCTCGTCAACGCCATCTACTTCAAGGGCAAGTGGGTGACGCCCTTCGACGAGCGCTGCACCTAGGTGGAGGACTTCTACCTCCTCGACGGCACCACCGTGGAGACGCCGCTGATGCGCTACTGCGGCAGCTACCTCGTCGCCGTGCACGGCGGGTTCAAGGTTCTCAAGCTGCCGTACCAAGCACCACCGGCCTTCCCCCCCCTTCGTCGGCGGGATGCGGATGGCGAAGGTCGCGCGCCGCGTCGGCGTCGGCGCCAAGTACTCCCTGTGCGTCTTCCTGCCGGACGCGCGCGACGGCCTGTGGAACCTCGTCGACGAGCTCGCGGCGTCCGGCCCGGCGTTCCTGCACGACCACCTGCCCTGGAGGGAGGTCTGAATCGGCAAGCTCCGGCTGCCCAGGTTCAAGATTTCCTTCGACAGCGACCTCACCGACGCCCTCCGGGAGATGGGGCTCGAGGCCACGCTTGACTACCCTCGCGACGAAGGTGCCACCGACCTGACCGACATGGCCGAGAGAAGAGGCTACGATTCATGGATTGGTTCTGCAACTCTAGCGGTGAATCTGTGCCGACACTTAATGAATATGATTGTAGTGAGCCTGAATCTCCTAACAACCCTAGCACATTTCTTGTAGAAGAGTTAGAAATGAATGAAGAAGAGTTGGACATATTTAAAAAGAAGCTTCATTTTGGAAAAAAAAAAGGTGGTAAGAAAAAAAAGGTGGTATCTGAGGAAGATATCAGTGACTATTTTGAATCAGATTCTGATCAGCAAGGTAGCCCAACTTATGCAGAGTCAGGAGACAACAATTCTGATGGTAGTGAAGGCAGTGATGTGTTTTATCTTTTGATCGACTATTTTATGCATATCCTGTCATAAGTTTTCTCGATGTAATGTGCTTTTATTGAAAATATTTGTCAAAGGTGATGGTGATGCTGGTGGTTCTTCTGGCAATACTGGTGGTGTTGGTTAACCTAGTCGTGGTGAAGACTCTAATGGAGTTCAAGCTGGTAATAATGTAGTTACAGGTCTAAATTCAGTTCATAGATTCTATTTCTGTCCATGAGTTATACTCTAGATATTAAAGAATTTTTAGTTTTGGATGATAAGCAATAGGATTGATGCTTGAATGCTCTAGTACATGTACATATGTGTGCTAGGAGGCTTATATTTTGTACATATTTGTAGGTGCTAGAGATGTGCAACCAGCCTCTCTCCGTCCAAGATCGAAAAGGCCGAAGAAAGTCTCTGTCAAGGGCCTCTATGGAAAGGTTAGATAAATCTCTTCCCTCATCTACAATTGGACTACAAATTTCCTCACGAAATTTTGAGCATATATCAACATTTGCAGTGATTTGGGCACCTGAGAGCTGTGGTGTTTTACTGACCAGACTTCAAGTATATTTGTTATTTTGGTTCATGTGGTTGTAACATTTTGGACAACATACTGCTTTAGTGCCTGACCAGTGACCACAAGCATATTGTGCTATCTTGGTTCATGTACTTTTATGTTAATGTACTGTCTGTAGTATTTGGGACTATGGATTATGGATATGGACTACTTTTAAGTTAGGTTAATTCTCTTTGAACTTGTAATAGTTGGGATTTAGGACTGTTAATCCAATGGACTATGTGGAAGGGAAGAAGTCAGATGACTATATGACGTGTTGGGTGAAAAATGATATTTTTGCATTTCTATGTGTATTTTTCAATGTTAGCTGATTTGGACATAATCTATGCGTTATCCTGTGCAAATTTAGGTGTTTTTTTTAATTTGTTCAAAAAGAAAACAATAAACCGCTAGATTTTCTGATAAATCCGATAAACCCGTTTATCGGTGACCTCCGGTATTTTTCCCCATCGATAAATTGAACCTTGGTGGGCACACAGCTTTTAGGCCACAGAGCAAAAATAGTACTCGATCTTCTTTCCTAGCACTAATCTATCATAACTAATCTAAGACAATTATGATAAGTTGTTACCTTTTACTCTATATATAGTATATGACATTGAAACTTAAATATTTTTTAACTAAATTTAGTTGTCAACTAAACACTTGTGAGCAAGAGGTGAAATGTGTCCAAAAGAATCCTGAGCCAAGAACGTTGACCATATTTTTGGCTCGCTCGAGGAAGCAGAGGATATATATATAGCTGGCAAGCAGCCGTCACTGGGACGGATCAAAGGACGCAGCCAGCAAAGACGACGGCGCTGGACACCTCCTCCATGATAAAGAACGCGAAGGGATGGTCGGCGACGAAATCGACAGTCTTTGGTGGAGGGCCAGGCGGTGCAGCCCCCGGAGGGGGAACGCCGACGTACGTCACAGCTGCGGCCTCCGTGCCTTCCTCGTTCAGCTCAATCACCGCCTTGTGACAGACCTGCTTTATCTTGGGCGACACGCCGGGGTAGCCTCTTTCCTCGGCCATGTCAGTCAGGTCGGCGGCACCTTATTTGCGAGGGTCAAGCGCGGCCTCGAGCCCTATCTCCCGGAGGGAGTCGGTGAGGTTTCTGGAGTAGGACATCTTGAACCTTGGCAGCCAGAGCTTGCGGACACAGACCTTCCTCACCGTCAGATGATCGTGCAGGAACGCCGGGCCGGACGCGGCGAGCTCGTCGACGAGGCTCCACAGGCCGTCGCGCGCGTCCGGCAGGAAGACGCACAGGGAGTACCTGTCGACGTCGCCGCGGCGCGCAACCTTCGTCATCCGGTTCCCGCTGAAACGGGGGAAGGCCAGGGGTGCTTGGTACCGCAGCTTGAGCACCTTGAACCCGCCGTGCACGGCGACGAGGTAGCTGCCGCAGCCGCGCACCAGCGGCGTCTCCACGGCGGTGCCGTCGAGGAGGTAGAAGTCCTCCACCTCGGTGCAGCGCTTGGTGAAAGGCTTATCCCACTTGCCCTTGAAGTAGATGGCGTTTACGAGCATCAGGCCGGTCTCGGCGTCCAAGGGAGGAACCACGTCGGTGATGAGCCCTTTGGTGGCCTCCGACACCCAGCTGTTGATCTCCTGCCGTGCTTCCTCTGCCTGCGTACGTGTGAATGCGTGCATTAGTGCATATTGGTTAGGGATCTAATCGCCGATCGACGGCGGACGGAGCAGGTAGAAGAAGAACGTTACGCACACGCACCTTTGTCTTTGTCCTGAAATCCACGGCGCGCACCTCGGCCTTGAAGCACTCGACGGCGGTCGCTCTGAACGCCGGCTTCAAGACCACGTCGTTGTCGTGCCAGACGCCGCACGCGAATGCGATGAGCGGGCCGCCGGACTCGGAGTCGTCGTCGAGCGCGCCGCGGACGAGCTCGGCGAGGTCGTCGCGTGACGCTGCGCCGAGCAGGGCCAGGAGCTCGTCCAGGGCGGCGCCCCGTGCCCCGGCGGCCACCAGGGCCAGCGCGGCGTAGATGGACAGCGGCGAGAAGACGAGGTTGCCGCTGCGGTCACTCTTGTTGGCGACGAGCTGCTTCGTGAGGCGGAGCGCCAGCGACGTGAGCCCGGCGCTGGCTGCGGAAACGCGCTGCCCCTCCGCCTCCATGGTGATGGTGTGCTTGCGTCTTTGGGTACCTGTGGATGGATCGATGCAAGGAGGACGGTACACTACTGCAAGAGACTTTGCCGAGTGCAAAATTCTTTACCAAGTGTTAAAAATCGGGTACTTGGTAAAGACCTTCTTTGCCGAGTGCTGCACTCAGCAAAGAGTTCTTTGCCGAGTGCCGGCACGGACACTCGGCAAATGACTTCTTTGCCGAGCGCCAGACTCTCGGCAAAATCTCTACACTCGGCATAGACTACCCACGAAACGTCGTTCGGTCACGGCCTTCTTTGTCGAGCGCCTGCTGTTAGCCACTCGGCAAAGATTTATTTTTTTTTAAAAAAAATCTTTGCCGAGTGCCTCCAGATCTGACACTCGGCAAAGATTTAATTTTTTTTTAAATTCTTTGTCGAGCGTCTCAGATCTGGCGCTCGGCAAAGAATTTTTTTTAAAAAAAAAATACTTTGCCGAGTGTCCCTATCACAGCACTCGGCAAAGGTTTAATTTTTTTTAATTTCTTTGCCGAGTACTCCTGTGGATGCACTCGGCAAAGAGGAATTTTTAAAAAAAAATTAAAACACTCTTTGCCGAGTGCCTTATTCTTGGCACTCGGCAAAGCCCCCTTTGCCGAGTGCCATAACCCGGCACTCGGCAAAGTCTTTTTTGTTTTTTTGTTTTTTGCCTCTAATTTTTTTGCAGCCCTTTTAAAGCACCAGGAACTCCTAGTTACAATTTGGGGATTTTTTTGTGGTTTTTTGATATATTTAGTTACTTTATTTCGTTTACTTGAATTTTTTCGGAAATTAGAAATTTGAACTACACGTGGTACGAATAATGAAGTTTAATGATTCGAAAATTGATAGTCATGTTAGTGAGTGTTGTGAGAGGCCGTATCCAGGAACGGACCCGAAATTTCGGACATCTTGTTCACGAAACATGTCCACGAAATTACGTGTGAAGTGTTTTTAAATTCTATAAAAATCAAACGAAGTCCGAAAATCATGAAACTTGTTGAGATGTCGTGATATCATATGTGGAGGCTATGATAAAAATTTCAGAAGATTTTATGTATGTTGTCATGTACGATGCTTACAAACCAGGACATCTCTACATCCCTTACATGAAACAAGATGTAGAGGTGTCCTGATTTGTAAGCATCGTACGTGACAACATGTACGAAATCTTCTGAAATTTTTATCATAGCCTCCACATATGATATCACGATATCTCAACAAGTTTCATGATTTTCGGATTTCGTTTGCTTTTTATAGACTTTAAAAACACTTCACACGTAATTTCGCGGACATGTTTCGTGAACAAGATGTCCGAAATTTCGGATCCATTCCTGGATACGGCCTCTCACAACACTCACTACACATGACTATCAATTTTTGAATCATTAAACTCCATTATTCGCATTCGGCACAGCAGCTTAAATTTCTAATTTTCTAAAAATTCAAGTAAACGTAAATAAAGCAACTAAATATATCAAAAACCACAAAAATCCTCAAATTGTAACTAGGAGTTCTGGTGCTTTAAAAGGGCTGCAAAAAATTTGAGGCCAAAAAATAAAAAAAAAACCGAGTGTCGGGTATGGCACTTTCTGCAAAGGGCACTCGGAAAAATTATGAATAAGGCACTTTAAAGAGTGTTTTATTTTTTTAAAAGATTCTTTGCCGAAAGTGCATCCACAGAGCACTCGCAAAGAAATTATATAAAAAATAAACTTTTGCCCAAAGGCCGGATGGGGCACTCTCAAGAAAGTATTTTTTTGTCTTTGCCGAGCGCCAGATCCGAGACGCCGGCAAAAAATTTTAAAAATTTAAATCTTTGCCGAGTGCCGATCCGGGGCACTAGGTAAAGAATTTTTTAAAAAAAATCTTGCCGAGTGCCTCCTGATCCCAAGATTCCAAAGTCCTGCCGCTTAACTGCCCGGTCGGTTCAGCCACGCCCACCACCACCACCACCCCGCCATCGCCACCACAGCTTCCACACACACCAGCCACCACATTTCACTGCCCTCCCCTTGGTGCCCCTCTGTCAGCCCTTCCCCCACCACTTGCCACAGGCCCCCCCCCCTGCCCCTTCCCACCACCCAGTGCCTCGGCAGTCGCCCCCCCCCAAGGCCACAGCCTCCGGCCAGCTTTTTTCTCGGGCCACCGCCTCAGTCGCCTTCGCTGCCAGCCTACCAGGATCACCAGCCCACCGACGTCTGGGTCAGACCCCGCCTGATCTCGACGCCGCCCGCCCCTACCCCGACGCCCGTCTGGTATGCCTTCTCACTTATTATTGTCGAGGTAGTGGTAGTTGTAGTAGTATTAGTTGTACTAGTGGTAGTAGTAGTACAACTAGTGGTAGTATTAGTAGTAGAATTAGTGATAGTAGTAGTAGAAGTAGTGGTAGTAGTAGTACAACTAATGGTAGTAGTTGTAGCAATAGTGGTAGTAGTAGTGGAACCAATGGTAGTAGTAGTAGCAATGGTGAAAGTAGTAGTACAAGTAGTGGTACTACTTGGATATATTCTTCTGTATGGATTGATATCCAAACTACATGGCTTCTGTTGAGCCATATGTGCTTGTCGGCCATCGTGCCGTTGTTTTTTGTAGGTTTTCGAAACCTCACCGTGCAGGGGAGGTTCTGTCGAAATTTTTTGTAAATGACAGTATTTTGTTCCATTTTTGTAGAGAAGGGCCCGTCGGAGTTCTCGCCACCGTGCCGGTCTGCCTGCACCGTGTCGTCTCGCCACTGCACCGACCCGCCATGACCTCACTAGCCTGACTCCGCCGCCACCCTAGGTATAACCCCTCTTTTCGTATCATTGTCGTAGATCGTGTAACCCAGTTAGGCGTCTCCCGTTCGAAAGAGATACGGTTGGAGGTATGCAGATCTTTGCATATCTATGACCGTATCTATTTTGGATTGTCCACGCTTTTTGGACAGCCCGCGGATACGTAGATGGGTTAGTTCCCATGTTCTGCTCTGGTCCGAGACAGAGTTTCGGCATCACCTCCCTGTTGTTCTCCGGATACACACTCTTCTTTGGCAGGACATGTATCTAGAGAACAGCGGGGAGGTGCTGCCGAAATTCTGTCTCGGATAGGAGTAGAGCATGGAAACTAACCTCATCTACGCATCTGCGGGTGGGATTAGGACCTATCCTCACCTATTAGACAGTAGGAACACCGTGTAGATGTAATTAATGGTTACATTACTCGCTGATACATATGTTAGAGGATGGATGGCCGTCAGTGGATGTACACGGGCTGGAGAAGTCAGAGTGATTACAGCACGGAATGGATGAACAAGACCGATGCTTTCTTGAACAATGCATTTGGCAACGCTGCTAAAGGACATTGCCTAGTTTTGTGTCCCTACAGCAAATGTGGAAACATGAGAAGGGTAAACAAGGTGGAAATGGGTAAACATCTTGTGAAGAATGGATTTACGTCGGACTACACCCGGTGGGTCCACCATGGTGAAGCCCATCGTATGAGAGGAGGTGGTGAGACCACGGGTGGAGGCTTTTGATGCTGATGCCGGGGTAGCAGACATGTTAGATGACTTTCACCAAGGACAATTTGATGAGGGACGTGAGAAGGAGGAGATGGAGGCAGTCGCACAGGCGTTCTACGATATGATGGACTCGGCACAGAAACCCCTTCATGATCGATCAACGGTGTCTCAACTGGATGCCATTGGACGCTTAATGGGGTTGAAGTCTGAGTTAAACTTGAGTCGACCTGGCTTCGATAAGATGTTGGCCGTGATTGGCACCCTACTTTTGGAGGGCCGCATTCTGCCAAAGAGCATGTACGAGTCACAGAAACTCCTTCGAGCATTTAAGATGTCGTATGAGCAGATACATGCTTGTCCGAAAGGGTGCATCCTATTTAGGAAAGAACACGAGCATGCAAAGTTCTGTCCAAAGTGTAAATCCTCCAGGTACCTGGAGGTAGACTCTGATGATGGCCAGAAGAGGCAACTTACGATCCCCATGAAAATCCTACAGTACCTTCCGTTCCTACCGAGGATCCAACGGCTATACATGACCGAGGAATCCGCGAAACAGATGACATGGCACAAAAATGGCAAACGGTACAATCCTAACAAGATGGTACATCCATCCGATGGTGAAGCTTGGATCCGCTTTAATGACAAACATCATGACAAAGCAGATGAGGCTCGTAATGTACGTGTCGCGTTGGCAACAGATGGGTTCAATCCTTATGGAATGATGGCTGCCCCATACACATGTTGGCCCATCTTTGTTATCCCCCTTAATCTCTCCCCCGGTGTCTCCTTTCAACGACATAACGTATTCTTGTCGTTGATAATTCCTGGACACCCAGGGAGTAATATGGGTGTGTTCATGGAGCCCGTGTTTGATGAATTGGTCCGTGCTTGGGACGAAGGGGTATGGACATACGATCGAGCTACAAAGACAACCTTCAAAATGCACGTTTGGTACCACTATTCCCTACATGACTTCCTGACGTATGGGATATTCTGCGCCTGGTGTGTTCACGGGAAGTTCCCATGCCCAATATGCAAGGAAGGTGTGAGGTTTATTTGGTTGTAGAAGGGTGGCAAGTATTCGTCGTTCGACAGACATCGTCAATTCCTACCTCTTGACCATCCATTCAGACAAGACATCAAGAACTTTACGAAAGGTGTCAAAGTGACAAACCCTACACCGCGGATGATGAATGGTGCCGAGGTTCATGCTCAGATAGGTGCTCTCGTGCCCAATGAAGAAGGTGGTTTTGTGGGATATGGTGAGCACCATATGTGGACTCATATCTCGGGCATGACGAGGCTCCCCTATTTCGATAACCTTTTTCTACCACATAACATTGATGTAATGTACACTGAAAAGAATATCACCGAGGCACTTTGGGCAACACTCATGGACACTGAAAAGTCTAAGGACAACCCAAAGGCTAGGGTAGACCTGGCAACGTTGTGCGATAGACCAAATCAAGAGATGCAACCTCCTAGTCATG